AGCAGGGCTTGTCAGTGGCCTCTGAGTTGAGGCTACTTTTTACTATCTGTCCAGGTTTTGCACCTAAAATACTGTGGCGGCCGAGAAACGCCGTTGTTTATGAAGTTTGGTGGAAGTTAGAGGGCGTGGACTGAAGTTGAGGGTTAGAGGGTTCTTTATCCGCGAGAGTACAGACGTTTTGGTTGATTGCTGCTGCTCATATGGAGATTAATGATGTCAAGAGGAAGACGAGGGGCAGAGAGGCTCCAAAATGAGCCAGATGTGTCAGGGTGACGGCAGGTAGCAGATGTTGGGTTCTAACCCTCGGAGTTCAGTCTCAGGGGGTGTTTGGCTAGAAAATCGCCTTTCCAGTGCCAGAGTGCGGGCTCTGGGAGAAGGTAGTTCAGGAGGCTTGACTTGTTTTGCGTAGTGGCCAGCTGGTCACAAGTCTTTCAGTCTGTGCCGCTAGAGGGAGAGGGTCAAACAAGCTGCTTTTCTTATCTTCAGCTAGACGCTCAGGCCAGGAGTCAGGAGCAGGGGCCAGCCTTTGTTCAATTCCTCATCATTGGTCAGCCCTGGGCCACCTGAAGAGGTATTGCCCACAGTTGAGTGCCACTTCAGAGCGTTTGGTTCTAGGCAGACGCAGAGCTTATCAGCCAGACTCATAGTCTGTGCAGGCCTCTTCGAGGGCACACGGGAGCTTTCATGCATCCAGTCAGTGCAGCAGTCTTTTGCTCCAGAAGGCGAGCAGCTAGATGCAGGGGCCTACAGGGCGCGTGTATGCTGTTACCCCGCAGGACGCTAAGTACCGGCTCCATCGTGGTGAGAGGTACTTTCTTTGTTTTTGCAGACTCGTTTGCTAGTGTATTGATTGATACGGGTGCCATCTCAGTTCTTTGTGATACATGACTGCAAAATTTTTGCATCTGTTTGGAATTCGGAGTTGGCAACAGTTAGCAATCTCCTTATATGTGTAATAAATCGCCTTGTTTGGTGGTTGAGTTGTCTTGAAACAAGGTTGTTAGAGGTTCGTGATATAGAGGTCGCCGACATAGGTTCCTTTTCCTTTTGTTGTTCATGGGCCCATGAAGGGTTTTGATGTTATTTTGGGTGATGGACTGGGCGTATCGTCATACCGGGCTGTTATTGATTGCTACCGGCCAGAGGGTCATGGTTTGTATCCTTGAGCGGTGGAGTGTTTCCATTTCTTGGGGATCGAGTTGAGAGTGTGTTGCCACGTATGTATGATCGCGAGAGCGGAATAAAGCTTAAGGGTCTACTTGTTAGCTTTAATGAGTGGTGAGTGTGAATGAGACCCAGATTGTATTGGCCAATGGTGGTTTGTGAGTATTCGGATGTTTTTTCCCGAGGATGCTCGTTAGTTTGCACCTCACCAAGAGATAGAGTTATCTCTATTGATTTAGTGCCCGGCACAGCGCCGATTTCTATGGCACCTTATTGTTTTGCCCCAGCCGAGTTGAAGTGAGTGAAGATTCAGCTTCCAGGAATTGCTTAGATAAGGGTTTTTGTTGTCGCCCTAGTGTTTTTCGCCCGTGGGAGCACCGGCCCTCTTTGCTAAAATAAAGATGGTGCCTTGAGATTGTGTTATAGACTAACCGGAGTTGAATCGAGCTATCGGTCAATAATAAGTACCTATGCCCCGTAAAATAATTGATCTGTTTGACCAGTTGAATGGTGTCCCGTTTCTCTCTCTAAGATAGACTTGAGATCGGGTTACCACCAGTTGAAAGGTTCAGGGAGGGGATAATTCTAAGACGGCAGATTCCGTACGCGGTATGGCCATTATGAGTTTCTGGTGATACCATTCGGGCTTACCAATGCACACGGCATGTCTTTAATGGACATAGATGAACCGGAATCTTCCGGGAAATTCTTAGATCGATTTGTAGTCGTTTTTCGTGGACGGCATTCTTTATCTATTCGCCTTTGGAGGAGGAGCAACGAGGAACACTTGAGAGTGGTGCTTGAGTTGCTTAGAGCCTATAAGGCTGTATGCCAAATTTGGGAAGTGTGAGTTCTAAGCAGGAGAGGTCAATATCTTAGGCCATGTGGGTAATCCGGGAGAAGGGGTATCTGTTGATACATCCAAGGTAGAGGCAGTGAAGAATTGGGCACAGCCTAAGAAGTGGTGGTTTGAGATTCGCAGTTTTCTCGGGCATTAGCGGTGTATTACTGTCGGTTTTGTGAAAGATTTCTCCAGGCTAGCTGTCGTCGTTGACTAGATTGACGCGAAAAGAGGGGTCAAGTTTGTATGGAGTGAGGACTTGTGAAAAGTTCGTTCCAAGAATTGAAAGTTAGGTTGACCACGGGCTTGGTTTTGATTAATTCCGGAGAGGGGTTGGGTTATGCGGTTTAATTGTGATGGCCTCACCGCAGAAGGTTGGGTTGTGTGTTGATGCAAGAGGGGAAAGTGGTAGCTTATGGCTCACGTCAGTTTGAAGAATACAGAGAAAATTACCCTACACACGACCGTAGAGTTAGGCAGCAGTGATCTTTGCCTTGAAGAATT